CGTAAGCGAATACTTGTGGTAACGCGCGTGCTCTTCGATCTTTCCTGTCTCTGGATAACGGATTGAACTGTTGAAAAATCCCCCGATGCCAGAAGATTGCACGAGGAGTTCAAACTCGAATCCCCAAGTATAGAAGTCGCGACCATCAGATTTGAGATTGCTAAGAAATCTGCTTGATTTACGACAACTTTTGCAACGAATGGCCTTGCTTCTGCCATTTGATGTTGTTGCTGCTGTGGTTGTTGTTTTTGTGGTTGAGCAGGTTGCCAATGGAAGGCAAAAGACCCAGCAGATTCATCTCCAGGGGTTGAAGGCCCAGCGGCAACAACAGGTCTTGCACAACTCAAGTTATCAACGCTCATAGAAGCTCTAGGATGCGCTGGAGCTTGTTGTTGTTGCTGAATAGATTGATTAGCCATCAACAAAGCGAAGTCAAATAGATCGTCTGTAGAAAGACCAAAAGTAGGAGAATTTGTACTTGAATTTCCTGTCTTAGCGGCTAACATAATTATAGATCTATGACTCAAGCTTAGGGGCGTAATCAATACCAGCTTGTATCGGTTCTTGTTGTCTGAAATGCTAGCTTAACTAGGAAGAAAGGCCGCCATGAAATGGCGGCCAGAGGTTTAGTTAGGGGAGGAAAGTGCCGAGAGAAAAGAGAATCGATTAGGAAGAGAGAGAGGTACAAGGAGGGGATTGTACCCTCTACAGTAAGGTTCAGTAACAACTGCCAAGCCTATTAATTATATATAACTTATATAATTTTAACACACCCCCTAGGCTTGGTAGTCCCACACCCACCCAACACACCCCCTAATCTAGCACCCCCTTTCCCAACAGCTACTACTACTCCAGCAGGGCCAACCCCAAGGCCCTGGAGATGGCGACGGCGGCCGTCACGGCCGCGGCGACAGTGACGGCGACGACGGGCGTGCGGCGGCAAAAGGCCTGCGGCGACGACAGCGGCGACGGCGACGACTTCGGCTTACGACGGCCGTGAGGGCAGCGGCCCCCGCCCTTCCGGCGGCGTGTCCAAACTCCGCACAAGGGGAACGACCGGCGAGAGTGAGGCGGCGGCTGTGGCGAAGAGGGGGGGGGACAGAGGAAAGGGGGGTAGGAGCGGGGCTTCGGATTCTTCAGCACGGCGCCATTGCTGATGCCACGCTTACTGGCGTGCGGGCGGGCTGCTTTTCAAGCAGCGATGCAGGTCGTGCGCGACGGCACCAGGCCGACGACACAGCCACAGCACCACGACGGCGACACCACAGCGTGGCGTTGTCGCTGCAGCTGCTCGTCGACGCTGAGACGACGGCACTAAAAGGCCGCCACAGTGGCAGGCAGGAGGAGAGCCGCAACGGCGGCAAAGTAACAACAGGAACGCAGCGGAAGCATAATGAGCAGGCCCGGGACGGGCGGCCTGCTCTGATACCATGTCTGAAATGCTAGCTTAACTAGGAAGAAAAGCCGCCATGAAATGGCGGCTTGAGGTTTAGTTAGGGGAGGAAAGTGTCGAGAGAAAAGAGAATCGATTAGGAAGAGAGAGAGGTACAAGGAGGGGATTGTACCCTTTATAGTAAGGTTCAGTAACAACTACCAAGCCTATCAATTATATATAACTTATATAATTTTAACACTTATAACTCTAGTAGCTCTGATACCATGTAGAAGTGAACCATGTGTTTAGGGTAGCCAGGATCTAGAGTTGGTGGAACCATGGGTAAAAGTCAGCGGAAGACTTTATACCTTGTATTGGAAATGTCTAAAAATGACAAGGATAATAATAATGGGTAATAAAGGCATATTTATAGTCTAGGAAGTACCTGCAGTGGCGGAAACAATTGTCCACATGTTTAGCACATTTTCACATTTTGACGAGCTGTAGGCTATAAACATTAAGCCTTAATTCATGGTGGCCATACACGTAGAGAGGAGCAGTTAGAGCACTTACTCAAATCTCCTAAAACCAGAGTAGTATGTTTCATGGTCCTTCAAGATGACAACATTGAATAACAGCACATCCGGACAATTTGTACCGGGGACAGGCATCAAACTAGTTACTAGCAAAACTAGTACCTAGTCAACCGACACTTGGCCTTGATCACCACCTACACCCTCATAGGCATGTTATCTACGAGGTTAGTGCAAACCTTTACACGGATCTTCTCGCACTCTTCCTGGACCCACGCTTTTGCATAAGGGGGTGAGCACTAGGAAAATCGCGAAGTATTTGAACGTATGCAAGAGTACTGTGCACGATTTCATGTTGAATGTTATCTCTAAGACTAGCCATGCTGAGGTGTGGCCAAAGATGCCATTAGTCGATTGGTCTCGTCTTATCATGGATCGTCTTCATCGTACCGTTGTAGGTAAAAATTACGAGCAGAGTGGCGAAAAATTGCGTGTCTGCCACGAAACTTAGGGTAACATAGCACGGTTGACTGTGCATCCTTGCACTATTAGAATCACGCTAGGATCCGTAGGTCTCTGAGTGGTGCAGCAATCGAAGTAGTCGTAACTGGTGGGGAAAAATATCCGGGTTGAGATCTGGTGAGGAAGAGGGTCACTCCAGCGTAACATACTTCCTGCTCCTCTCTACGTGTATGGCCACCATGAATTAAGGCTTAATGTTTATAGCGTACAGCTCGTCAAAATGTGAAAATATGCTAAACATGTGGACAATTGTTTCCGCCACTGTATTCGGAATGTACCTGTTTGTAGCGTAACGCGACTATTCGCGTGACATACTGTAACTAGTGACTGTTCGCGTAACTGAGGGTGGCCTGACCCTTCAGGTGACTGTACGTGCGAACTTTCTGTTCACGTGTTGACTCGCTACTGCTGACGTCATCACCCGCGTCCTTCCATATGAGGTATCGCGCTATTGGTACAGTGTTACATCAGAATGCATAAGTAACCAATGTCGAGTATACTTCAACAGGGAGGGGGGTAAGCTTCAAGCCCAGTGCTTGAATACTTGAGTATATAAGCAACAATTTTTTTGTATTCCAAAATCTGGCTTACACTTTATCGCATCCAGTTCAAATGACCACACTCAAGAAGAGAGTCAAGAACCTTGCTCGAAACGACAAAAGCAATCCAGTTTTTGAAACGACAAAATCAATCCAGTATTTGAAACGGTAAAAAGTGTTGGTACCACCAACACACAACCAGGGCTCTCGCTAGGATTTGAGGCTGTCTGAACATGAGACTAAATTTTTGGCGCCCGTCTGACGATAATCTGAAATTTTCGGACGAGTCTGACGTTTCTGACGAAGTTTTATCCGCAGGCTGTTTTTCAGACGAAAAAAAATTGATCGTCTGAGTTGTAATTGCAACTGCGTGGACGCGTAAGTAATTGCAGGGTGTCAAAGGGTATCGCTCGTCTTGAGTTAATCTTTCGCCTGAGTTTTTCTCGGGCCGCTCAGGAAAGATTGCTCTGGTAGGAGACTACCGTTTGGCGAGGGGGGAAGCGAGACGGAGGTGGAGACAGAGCCCTTGCAAACCCCTTTCGATGTGATTGGCTAATGGCCTAGAAATTCATCAACGTGGGAGTGATTCGAATGGTCAGGAAATCTGAGCCGTTAATCACCATCTCAGTCGAACGGCTGATAATTGTCGAAATGATCACAATCGATCGTGACCGTGAGGATTTTATGGACTCTCAGTTGACCACACGGGCAACTGGCGGAAATTCCCCTAATGGATCAACTGCTGGTAGAAAATATTTGTTACATCTCTCCCCCGTCTAGAGGCAAAAACATCTTGGATAATAGGGGATGCAGTTGAGCTAATTTTTATGGGTTGTGTGGGAGGGGGAACGTCTGTATAGTAGGCCTTAGCCGATTGTATTTTGTTCTTGGGTGTGTAGGGGGAGTGTCTGTATAAGAAGACTTAGCCTATATTTGTAGGTTGCTTGGTAGGTTGCTTGGTGGGTGGGGGGGATGTCTGTACAAAAGGACTTCGCTGATTTTTGTAGGTTGCAGGGTGTGTTGGGGGAAACTCTCTGGCGTTTGGTGACTTGGCCGAAATTTCAGGGTTGTGGGCAAACAAGTACAATTTGCCTGTACCAGAGTTTTCGCGGGTCTACCACAGTTGTCGGTTTCATACGAAAATGTCCGTGTTGTCTGATTTCGCAGACGAAATATAATACAGTGTCTGTTTTTTCAGACAAAGTTTCAATAGCCGCCTTAACGTTCAGACGAGATAAAACAGGCGGTCTAACAAATCAGATGAACCTTAAAAAACGAGTCTGTTTTTCAGACCATCAGACCAATTTTGTCTGATATCTGGGGCCCTGCACACAACAATCCATAAAAAAACAATTTCAATAGACACGATCTAGAGAAGATGCAATAGAAGCATTGTCAATTCAGCCCCCTCAAAGATGTAATCCAATACCCTCAACAAGCATTATAACCCTGCGGTAAAACTCAAGGGAGGAGAAAACATTGATAAAAGAATGGGGTGGATGTATATAACTAGCGCAAAATCGACGATAGCAGGAGAGAGAAACGGAAGTGTGAAGAAATAAAAGAGATTAGCAGGAAAGGGTGTAGGAAAGCCCGACTTAGGAAAGGGAGTGAAGAACGGGAAAAAGAAAAGAAAAGAAAAGAAAAGAAAAGAAGGTGATAGTGAACACCCATTTCTATTCACTAGCTTGTAAGATAAGAGAGGAAAACCAAAGGGAGAACAAAACAAAGCCGAACGGAGGTGGGAGCAAAGAGAAACAACGGGGAAGGGGGGGAAGGGAAAAAGAGATACAAATGGCGAACTAGAGTTTGATAACAATTTTTTGGGAGAGAAACACAGCTGAAGAAGTCTAAGCGTCAACTAGCAACATCCCAAAAATCACAGTGCCAAAATGATACCCCCAAGACTGCCGCGGGTAACTTGAGGGTTTCGTGCTGTGGGGTAACCCTGGGGCTTCCGACTGGGTGACCTCGGGGAAACCGACGGTCAAAATTGTCTATATATAATAGTACATGTTATAGGCTAGCTAGGTTCATGCTTTGATAGAGTACAACACATTAGGTATATCCCCTTGTACAACTCTTTCTACTTCACTTTTTCTACGCTGAGATGGTATCACGCTAGGTCAGATCCTCTCACCCACTTCCGCCCTGCTCGTCTACTCGCGCGACATACAACAACACGTCGACCACCTACGACGCGTCTTCGAAATTCTTCGACGAGAACGATTGTACGTCAAACTATCCAAGAGCGACTTCGCCCTCGAAAAAATCCAATTCCTCAGACATATCGTAAGCGCTCAAGGAGTTCACGTCGACCCCAAGAAAATCGAAGCCCTGGGTACGTGGAAGACACCCAAGAACGTGAAGGAGTTACAGCAGTTCCTTGGCTTTGCTAACTACTACAACAGGTTCGTGCCACAATACGCGAAGATCGCCGCGCCACTCACGAATCTGCTAAAGAAGAACACGCCCTATAAATGGGAGCCACAACACCAGGACGCCATGGAGCAGCTGAAACAAGCACTCACGTCCGCACCCGTACTCATCTTGCCAGACCCCGAACGTGACTATGTCATCGAAGCTGATGCCAGCGACCAGGCAGTGGGAGCAGTCTTGATGCAAGACCAGGGGAATGGCCTGCAACCAATTGCCTACCTCAGCAAAAAATTATACGGGGCAGAACTCAACTACCCGATACACGACAAAAAGGCCCCTGCTATAATCATCGCCTTCAAAACGTGGAGATGCTATCTTGAAGGACGCAAGGCAACAGTCTACACCGACCATTGCAGCCTAAAATATTTGAAGACGCAACCAATCCTCTCCAGGCGGCAGGTCCGGTGCGAGCAGTGCAAGCAGCGTCGGAGCAAGGAGGGGGGGACAACGGGAGCGACGACGGGGGAGGCAACGAGAGGGGTGTAACAAGAGAAGCATGCGAACGAAGGACCATAGGGTGGATACCAGGATGGGGAGAGACAGGACGAGCACCAGAGGGGCGACGGACCCAGTGGGGAAGAACTGCGGACTGGGGAGGAGGAGGAACGGGGGACAAGTCAGGGGATGGAGGGGAGCGCAGGGGAAAACGAGCCGGAGAGGAGTCCGGAGGAGGAAACAATGGGTCGTAAGCAGAGTCACGCACCGGAGGGGGAACAGGCGGCAGAACAGGGGAACCTGGAGCAAGACCAAGGATATGAAGGGCAGATTGTAGCTGCTCCTGCTGCGGTGGCTGCGCCTGCTCCTGATGCTGCGGCTGCAACTGCTCCCTGTCCTCTCCAGGACCTCCAGCGGCACTACGGCTGCAACCGACACTCCCCGAAACAGCACCCCAATACTAGCACCCTTGGACGCACCACCCACAGAACCAGCACCCCCGGAGTTAGCACCCTCCGAACTCGCACTCCCAGAACCAGCACCTCCAAAGTCACCACCCCCAGAACCCGCACCCCCAGAACTAACACCCCCAACACCAACACCTCCAACACCAGCACCCCAAGAATGGGTACCCCCAGAGCCCACTGCTCCCAGTTCCCGCTGCTGTGGCTGCTGAGTTTGCTGCAGCGGCTGCTGTTGTTGCTGAGGCAAGGGGGGAGGCGACTGAGGTGACGGGGGTACCGAGGTTGGGGGAGGCGCCACAAGGACAGAAGGCGCGTCCCCAGCAGCTGGGCCCCCAGAGTCAGCCGACTCCCCGGTGCAACCGAGGGAAACTGAGTGGCGTGGGAGACACCAGACTAGGTCGGGTGGTGCGGGAAGGGTGCGGCAGGTAGGGCAGGGACAAGGAAGAGAGGAGGAGGAGGCAAAGGAGCGGTGCAGTGCGGGAAACGCCGGTAGTAGGGGAGCATCTCGTCAAAGGTAATGTCACGAGAGTGGTGAAAACGGTGGTGTGGCTGGTGGTAGAACAACCAGTCAGAGGCGTCAAGCGGAAACCCCAGGAAGTCACAAGGAAGGGTGCGGGCTGAGAGCTCGTCGGCGCGAGTGTCGCGCACGTGAGCAAGGCTGCCCCAAACGTGGAACGCAGACGTGTCACCAGGAGACCTGGTTCAGAGGAGGGTCGGCGAAACCTGTGGCCGCTGGGAGTGCGGCCATAGGTTAAGCTAGTGAGCAGCATAGTGCACGGCGAATGGCTATAGATAATGGGGTGCACCGGCGTGGACCATGAAGGTGCGGGCTACGTCCATGATTAGGCCGCTGCATTGCTCAGTAACCCCATTCTACTGTGGGGAGTCCGGTAGTGTGTACGTCCTGCGGATGCCCTCCGCACGACATAACTATGCTAGAGTGCCAGAGGCAAACTCGCCATCACGGTCAGAGTGTAAGCGACCTACAGGCAGACGGTGGTGGGAGCGAACAGCAAGAAGCCACGGGAGGAGAACGGTAGGCACGTCGCTCCAACGGGAACACTGTGGTGAAACGCAAGAAGTCGTCAACGACGACTAGGAAGTAGTGCTCCCGACTAAGACCATGGTCTGGGAAAGGGCCCCAGACATCTGTGTGCAGTGCCTGTAGCTGTGCTGTGGTAGGAGGAAACGAGGAGGAGTGAGGGGTGGCGCTCTGCCGGCCCTCGACGCAGGAGGTGCACAGTGACGCTACCGACTAAGGTAGGGTGGGGAGCGACGCAGGGAGACCAGTGACTAGACCGCGCTGGGACATGTGCCTGAGACGTGGGAGTGCAGGGTCACCTTAACGGTGGTGTTACATGTTGGTGCATATTCATTTGCACGTCATCCTGTCGTCTGTTCGCATCATTTCGTTTGCATGTGTTTTGTGTGCTACGTTGTTTGTATGGTTTGTTGGGTTTGCATGTCTTTGCATGTTCATCTTGTGCTTGTGCAGATGTGCTTGGATTGTGCATGACATCGAGCACATTCCAACGAGCCAAGAATTGTTGGAATCGGAGCACATATGAAGAAGTTACGAAGAAATGTTTGATGGATTTGTTACAACTCATTGGAAGTCCTTGTCAGCTGCTACACCAAAGTTGGAGAGCCCTATAACGAGGAGGGACCAGCATGTGTGGGACTTTTGTCCCCACCTTGCAGCTGCAGCATTTGGGGTTTGGAGGCCAACCTGGCACAGTGTGAATTTTGTCTTGCCAGGCTGGCTGAACCTGAGGATGGGGAGTCAAAACTTTGACTCTTGTCATGTTCTTGACCATGGGCCTCCAGGGTCCTTCCCTTTCATCCTTCCCTTCCTACCCCACCTTCCAACTGTGCTTCAATGCCTTTTCTATCATGCCTCTTATCTTGTAAGCTTCAATCATAGTGACTCTGAGGACTGTCAACTTCTCCTAGGGCAGATTACCCCCCAGTGCGCCAAACGCCATAGCTCACTCGTTCAGCTACGGAATCGAGTGATTCAACTTTCAGTGGAAAGCTGACGCTGCCAGCTACAACATATCCGATTTTCAGATCGTTTCACCGATTGGAGTTTTTGATATAGCTATTCGAAGGTCGCGAGTTTTCTGGGCGTCATAACGAAGTGCTGCAGAAATTTCCAAGGAGCCATTGAATCATCTGCTTATAGCCTTCTCTAACCAACAAGTGGTATCAGAGCCTATTATCACGCATTTGGGACCTAAAATACGATGGGAGATAAAGAGGACTCTGGTGGAGGTGATACTTCAGTCCAAGGAGGCAGCTCAACCCAAGATTCTGGCATTGCAGCGCAAAGGGGAGCGCATACAAGCCAGGGGTCACTGCTTAAGGAGGTGCTGAAGAACTTCACCATTGAGAAGTTCTCTGGAGATGGCTATGATGATTGGGCATGGAAGATGCAGCTCTACTTTCGACAAATTGGCCTCTTGAAGCTCATGATTGGAACGGAGCCAAGGCCAAAGGAAATGGCAGAGCATGCGGACTGGGATGAACGTTCATCTGCTGGGTACTATCTACTGTCACAAAGCTTGGAGCTGAACCAGAGGCATCACATCATGCATCTGCTACCGGAAATTGATTGTGGGCCCAAGGCATGGGCAGTGCTCAAGGACCTGCACGCTCCGACATCGGTTGCCGCTTCTCTCATGCTGGATCGGGAGCTGTCCATGCTGCGGTTGAGCGAGAATGAACCTGTGCAGCCCGTACTGGACAAGATGAGGGAACTCTACGCGAAATTGGCGATTGCAGGCATCACGTACCCTGAGCAGACAAAGTGTCTCAAGATGCTCAGCCTGCTGCCGGAGTCTTGGCTGCAATTTATAAGCGGACTCAGCTTGCCACAAAACCAAAGTCAATGGACATTGGAGTGGATTCGCACCAAGATTCTGGAAGAAGATTTTCGTCGCTATACACTGCGCGGAGGTGATGACAGCACCAGCGGCTATGCCATGCAAGGGACATGGAGGGATCGAGGGCGTGGCAATCGCGGTCGCTCTTACCACAGCCAAGGTGGTCGCGGGACTTGGAACCAGCAGGGGCGTGGTGGCGCTGGTGCAAGAGGAAGAGGTGGTCACTCCAACAATGACAACAGTGAACCACGCTTGAGGGGAGAGTGCTGGTATTGCAAGGAAGAAGGGCATCCATGGTTTCGCTGCCCTACCAAGCCCGACTGGTGGACCCCTTGGAACCAATCGCAGAAGGGGAATGGAGGAAAACAACCACATGGAGGTGCCAACATGGTAGCTGATCCTGCTAAAGAAACCTCCAAGGATGACAGAGGAATGGGAAATGAGGAGAGGAATGCTGGACAGTTCTACCATGTGTGTGACAAAGATGACAGTGGCACAGCTGTTGCAAGGGCTGGAGAGGAATTGCACCCGCTTGACATGTGGGTCATGGACTCTGGTGCTGCATGGACAATGACACCACGCAAGGACTTGCTGGATGCTGTGCGAGCGCCTCCAATCTCTGAAGTGCGCTCAGCATCCGGACATGCAGTGAAGGTCGCTGGAGTTGGTCGAGCTGCATTCAGAGCACCTGATGGTGGACTGGTTGTGCTGAAGGATGTGTTACTCGTACCAGGGCTGAAGGCCAACCTGATATCGCTGCGCAAGCTAGGCCAGGCCGGAGTCAGCACCACCACCAATGGATCCAAAACATTCAAGGGGCTGCGAGGAGATCGTGTGTTATGGGATTTACACGAAAGCAGAGATGTCTTCAGATCCATGTGGCAGATCCCTGCACTGATATGGGAATCAACAAAGAAGGAGTTGGGAGAAGTAAAGGCGGGATCTGGAGTCCAGGGGGAGTGTAATGTAGTTAGTGCTGCAGGAGTGACGGTTTCTGCAAGGTCGGGGGAGACTGATTGGGAAACCGCACACAGGCGTCTAGGGCATGTGGCTATGCCATTGCTGCAGCAACTGCATAAGGAAGAAGCAGTAAAGGGGCTGAAGCTTTCTGGGCAACCAAATGATACCAAGTGCGAGACGTGTCTGCTGAGCAAGTTCACACGGTTCCCCTTTCACGGCGTAGCTGGGAAAAGCAAGGCAGCACTGGAACTGGTGCACATGGACCTCGTAGGACCTTTTCCAGTCCGAGGAAGTAAGGGGGAAAGGTACTTCCTGACAATAGTTGATGACTGGAGTCGGCTGATGTGGGCATACCCGTTGAAGCAGAAGGATCATGCTGCCTCAACAATACGAGATGACTGGCTGCCGTTCGTCGAGCGACAATCTGGGCACCCATGCAAGAGCATCAGAACCGACCGAGGTGGAGAGTTTCTAGGAGGAGATCTGACTGCGTGGCTCAAGAAACAAGGCATTGAGCATCAGCTAACGACGTCCTATACCCCTCAGTCAAATGGCGTTGCTGAGAGGGCTAATAGGACCATCCTGGAAACTGCGCGAGGGCTGCTGATCGAATCAGGGCTGGGGAACTCCATGTGGCCTCATGCGGTGAGGCATGCTACAGTGGCAAGGAACCGCGTACTCACAAAGGTGGCTGATGATATGTGGGTGCCGCTGGAGAGGTGGCTTGGAAAGAAGCCTCCAGTGGACATGCTTCGAGTGTTCGGATGCATGGCAGTGGCGCATGTCCCTAAACCGTACAGGACAAAGCTTGGAGCATCTGCACTTTGGTGTGTGCACCTTGGGCTTGCGGCAGAGAGCAAGGGGTGGCTACTCTGGGAGCCCTCAAAGAATGTGCTGTTTGATAGTCGGGATGTCAAATTTGTGGAGAACATCATGTATGGCAAGTGGGAGAAGCAGCCGGAGGCAAGGGTCACCCAGCAACTGGAAGAGATCACTATGCACTTCGATCTGTCCGAACCTGAGGACAGCGAAGTCACTGCGCCAACGGCAAGCGGTACTGATGAAGGAAGCAATGAGGATATTGCAGCTGATGCTGAAGTCAAGGATCCGGAGCAGCAGCAGCAAGAGGCTTCCAAAACACCAAGTCTGCCAAAGCGAAGGAAACAGATTGGTGGGGGGACAAAGGATTGGGTGAAGGTGAAAGAATGGGTAAATCCAACCATCTACCCTGCACGTACCAGAATGGCAACGAGAAAACTGCTGAGCTCCACAAGTGGAGGAGCCACAACTGAGCAGCAGGAACAGGCTCAAGGCGAAGATGCAGTGCTGTTCTTGGGTGATGACCAAGAGTCAGATGACGAGGAGCCTGCATACTGCTTTTACGCACCAATACAACCTCCGAGCATGGATCATGCGCTAGCCGGGCCTCAACGGGGGAAGTGGCTCGTTTCAAGAGATGCAGAGTACAACAGCCAGATGGAGAATCACACGTGGGACCTGGTGTACTTGCCAAATGGGAAGAAGGCAATACAGTGCAAGTGGCTGGCAAAAATCAAGACGGATGAGAAAGGAGAGCCATCAGTTTACAAGAGCAGGCTGGTGGCAAAGGGGTTTCAGCAGAAAGAGAAGGAAGATTACAAAGAAGTGTTTGCCCCAACTGCTAAGTCTCCAACGCTACGTGTGCTGCTAGCGGTAGCTGCTGTGCGCAAATGGAAGGTGAAGCAGATGGACATCGTAACCGCTTTTCTGTACGGCATTGTGGAAGAGGAGGTGTACATGGTTCAACCCCCTGGCTATGAGGATGGAACCGGTCGTGTCTGCAAACTTAACAAGGCCATCTATGGCTTGAAGCAGGCCCCGAGATGCTGGTACAACAGGCTGGCCAGTGCACTGGAAGGGATTGGATTCCGTGCGAGTGCATGCGACGAGAGCCTATTCCTGATGGGAGAGGGGGAGTCACTTGTGCTTCTGCTGGTGTACGTGGATGACATCCTGCTCTTCAGCAGCAGTGACAAGGAGATCGATGGGGTGCAGCGGAAGCTCACAGAGCAGTTCAAGTGCAAGTCACTTGGAGAGGCAAGGTACTACCTGGGAATGCACATTGAGCGGGATACTGAACGTGGCTGGCTCAAACTGCATCAGGGACAGTACATCAACACCTTGGCTGAGAAGTACTCTTTGCAGGAAGAACGGGAAGTGGTCACACCTTTGCCTTCCGAGTTCAAACTCATAAAGGCAGCTGAAGGAGAAGGAGTTGAGAGTGAAGACCAGAGGCAATTCCAATCCATGGTCGGGAGCCTACTCTACGCTGCTGTGCATACTCGGCCTGACATCAGCTTTGCTGTGGGACAGCTGGCTCGAGTAGTGCAAAATCCAACAGAAGAGCAGTGTGGTGCAGCGGAGAGAGTGGTGCGCTACCTCAAGTCATACCCTACAGTGGGAGTACAGTATTCAGCCTCTGCTCAACTCAGTCAAAAAGGAGTTGAAGTCCTCAAAGAGAATGGGGAGCAGCTCGGAGAAGGAAAGGTGTTCCTTTCCTGTTTTGCTGATGCCACGTGGGCTTCTGAGCATGAGGATTCATCATCAGTTGGTGGATACATCTGCATGGTGGGAGGTGGGCCTGTAAGTTGGAGGTCCAAGAAGCAGTCTGAGACGGCACTATCTTCAGTGGAATCTGAGTACATGGCGATGTTTCATGCGGCAAAAGAAATCATCTGGCTAAGGAGGCTCTTGAAGGAGATCGGCCATGAACAGACTTGTGCGACACCTCTGTTCAGTGATAGCAAGGGAGCCATTGCCATGGCGCGCAATGCAGTTCTTCATGGGTTGAACAAGCACATGAGGATCAAGTGGCATTGGCTACGGAAGGAGGTGAAGCTTGGG